TTTAGGACAAAGACAAGTAGATAAGCAGAGTGATTGACTGGTCCTAGGAAGGACCTACAGTTCATCCACAAAAGGAAGGCAGAGCTCAGGGAAAAGAAGTCAGGAGGTTGACAGGTGTGGTAGGAGCTGCTAGGACTTGTTTCTGAGGGCTTCTATTAGATAGGTATAGAATTTTAGGTTAGAAATCACTTTCCCGGAAACTCCTCAAAAGGAAAGAACACATCCCTGGGATGCGGGAAAAAAGAAAAGAAGGAAGGGGGAAAGAAAGATATGTATATATACACAAGATAGCTAAGATGACTGTACTACTAATTTCTATTAGTTCACTGAAAGGAACAGCTAGAGCTTATATTGTTTGATCAATTCTGCATTCTTATATCTGGTAATCTGAGCAACTACTTTGAAGATAACAATTTGCAATATAACAATCACTGTTAATGTTATCATCTTGTTTTGAAATTCTGTTATCATTTTTGTTTTTTTTCTCTTTAAAATAAAAAAAATTTAAAAAAGAAATCACTTTCCTTTAGAAGTCCAAGACACAAGTTCTTTGTCTTTTGGTTTGCAGAATGGCAAAATCTCACACAACTTTGAATCTTAACGTTTGTATAAGAGCTACTTTGCCTCTACCTCTGATAGTCTAAATCTGCCTGATAAAAGGACCTGGTATCTTCTTTTTAATTTATTAAACATTTTTATATAAATACCCATAAAAATATGTAAATCATATAACAACCTTTAAAGAAGAAAATCTAAGAATTTAAAACTTACTACCTAGCTCAGGGGTTGGCAAAATATGTGAAAAGGCCAAGTGTGGCCTGCTGCCTGTTTTTGTAAATAAAGCTTTGTTGAATATGGCCACACCCATTAGTTTACTTACTGTAAATTACAAGGACAGAGTGTAATAGTTGCAGCAAGTACCATATTGCCTACAAATCCATACTTCTAATTGGATCCTTTAGAGATGATTATTGATCTCTACCCCAGCTCAGACAGACTGCCTCAAAGTAAGTCTTAAAAAGGGCTGAGGACGTAGCTCAGTATGAAGACTCTGGGTTCAACATGCATTCCTGCCAAAACAAACAAACAACTCAAACCAAACCAACCAGACAACAACCAAAAATGCAATACTTTTGATATTCCCTGTATGTCTATTCCCAAATATACTCCTTTCCTGGGTGGAAATCACTACCTAATGTGAAGTGTGTTAATGTTAAATGTGTTAATCATTTTTCTTTTTAACAGTTTGTGTATGTGTGTGTATATCATTTAGTTTTTCTAACCTGACTGTAATATAAATGAAATGACATTGTATATTCTTCTCTAACTTGTTTCTTTCACTGAGCATTCTATGCTAGAGACAGAATAATGATAGTTTATTTTCACTGATACCGTATTTCGCTATATGACTATATCACAGTTTATAGTAAAGTGGACTGTGTCCAGGGTTTTTCAAAATATGCTGCTCAGAACATTCTTTTACATGTATGTCCAAACAGTGTGTGTGCACATGAAGTCCCATTAAAGATTAGAAGTGCTGAATAACAAGTATGTGCATATAGTGTTGTCCCACATATGTTACTAGGAATCCACAAAATTCTATCTATTATATTTATCTTGGTCACATACCTAATTTTTACAAATCTATTGTGCTTTACTTTTGTATTTTGTTTGGTGGTATACAGGATCACTGAGCTATACCCTCAGGCTTTTTTTTTTTTTTTTTTTTTTGAGACAGGTTCTCCCCAGGCATTGCTAAGCTGCCTACGCTGGATTCAAACTTGTGCTCCTCCTGCCTCAGCCTCCCAGAGTGCTGAGATTACAGGTGTATACCCACTGTTTAACTCACGATAGTTTTTAATGCACTTTTCTATGATTATTAATGTCACCACACATTTTTCCAAATAGTTCTTTAGTCATTTGTATTTCTTGTATGAAATGCCAATTCACGTGTTTTGCCAAGTTTTTCTATTGATAAGTCTTCTGCTTTCTAAATGTGGCATTTATATCTTTCTGACACTATGCCTCTGTTTTATATATGGCAAATATCTTGTCTCAGCTTTTGATTTGTCTTTCCAGTCTCTGAATGATATTTTTAATAACCATAAGCTTACACTTTTAATTTTAACCTTTTCCTTTATACAATGTATACAACTTGAATCATCTTTAAGTAAACACTTCTTTATTCCAAGATCATTGAGAACTATTTACTTATCTTTGTCTTCTAAAAATTTTAAAATTTTGCCTTTTACATTGTATGACTAAAGAGAGAAACTGTCTTTTTTATATGCATAGTCAATTCTTGAAATGTCCACCCATTTTCCACAGACTGTCCAGTGCCCCCTCTACTGCTGATAAAAAGCCCATACTGATGTGTTCTGGTTCTGGGTACTCTATCAGTCTGCCTATCTCTGATGCACTAGCAGAACTTAATTATTGCAGCTTTATAAAAAGTTTTGATGCCTGGTAAGGCAAGCTGCTACAATCTATTCTTTTTCTTGAAGTATGTCTTTTCTTTGACTTTTCCATATTAATTTTAGAATCAGCATGACAGGTACTATGTAAAACCTTGCTGAGATTGTGAATGGAATTATATTCCATCTATAGATCAGTTTGGAACGAAGTGACATATTTAAGATATTGAGTCTACTATTCATAAACATGGTCAGATTTGCTCTGAATTTATTGGTGACTATGTAAGTTTTCCCTTTTAATAATATGTAAGCTATATTAATAGATCTTCTAGTATCATCATCAATCTTACATTTTTAAAATCAACTCAACTTAGCTATTAAGAATTTTTAAATACATTTGCTAACTATTTTGCCTATGATTTTTATGACTACATCCACGAGTGATACTGATAATTTGTCTTGTATTGTCTCTTTTTGTGACTGAATGTCATGGTTGACAAGCCCTGCAAGAAAACCTGGGCTGTACGCCCTTCCTGTTGTAGGCTCAAGCTTGTTTAGGACTGAAATGATCTATTCTTTAACATGCTGGATAAAACATAACTCTAAAACTACGTTGGCTAAGTGTTTTATCTGGAAAATATTTCAAGTATTGATTTAATTTCTATAAATTAAATGGCATTCAATTTTTCTATTTCTTTCTGAGTTAATTATGGTAAATTATACTTTTCGGCCCATTATGCTTTAGTTTTCAAATACTGGCATAAAGTTGATAACAGTATTCTCTTACTATTTTAAAAATCTATGCTGCATCTGTTCTTTGTGTTTGTAATTTATTCCTATGGTATATTTCATTTTAGTTTTGGAAAGGAGCAGAAATAACTTTGTATGTTGAACCCACTACATTTATGTGAACAAAATTATACCGAAGAAACATTCTTTTCTAATCTATAAGAAGGAAGTAATAACAGAACCCATCAAAGCTATCATAGTGAAGACTGAATGAGTTAATATATGCAAACTGCTTGGGATAGTGACTGGCATAAATTAAGAGCCCAAAAATATCACGATTAAATTATATGAAATTCACTTCTATCAAGATGATGTCCTTTTCTTATTTGGTTGCAGTTTAATGGCCCAAAGCAACAGCTAGATTCTCTCCAATGTTCGCTCCTTCTATTCAAGCCATACAGATAGGCAATGATAAACCTGGTTAGGAATACTGTGATTCTGAAGCTGAGTCTGAGTACCTGTAACCTGAGATTATAAACTGCACCTATGTAAAATAAAATGTTAAACAAAGCAAGAGACTGTGTTATGAGCTGGGTTTTTTTTCTTAGAGGGAGGGTACTGGGAATCAAACTCAGGACCTTGTGCTTGCCAGGCAGGCGCTGTGTTGCTGAGCTATATCCCTGGCCCAAGATCTGTTTTTACCTTGATGACAAAGGCCATACCTTTTATCACCTACTGTGTGCTAGACTTGCACGTACTAGGTTAAAAGGATTCTGTGAGTTCTTGACAAGCAATTAGCAATTCAAGAAATAAAATAATGAAGCTATGATGGAAACTGTAAAGAAAACTCTAATACCCTCATGAAGTTTTCAATATTAGGTGCCTTTCACTCATGGGTAAACGTGTAACTATTTTACCCATAGGTCCTTTACTAGGAAAACCCCCAGTATACAAAGGTTTCTCCTCTCTCTTTAACACAGTGATGCACTTTAGGCATTCTACTCCCAGGCAATTTTTGTAACAAATCTGCAAAACAGATATTGAACTATTTAGAAGAAAATACACTGAAGTCTCTGATTTACTCTGAAATACACCAAAAAATAGGACTGAAAAAAGAAAAGTGGGTGTGGGCACTCTGCTTATAGCTCAGTGGTACCATTTTTCTCTACTTTATTAGCAAAATTAAAGCATATGCATGAACAAACACATACTCCTGGTAAGGATGCAGCAAAAGAGATGTAGAGTCTACACAGCTAGCAACATTCCCAAGCCTGCTGGGGAAGCAATCTGGCAGCCAAGTCATGGTGTTTACCAGATTCTTTGACCTGGTGGTCCTATCTTTAGATTATGAGTTGCATCAGTCAAAAGAAGCTGAAAGATGTTCACCGCAGTATTATCTATCAGAGAATTTATCTATGGATAACCTAAATTACCATCAAGAGGAAAAAATTTTAGGGAAAGATGACATACAAGAATAATGGAGGGCTGGGGATTTAGCTCAGTGGCACAGTGCCTGCCTGGCAAGCACAAGGTCATGAGTTCGATTCCTGGTACCAGAAAAAAAAAAAAAAAGAATAATAGAATATTTTACAGACACTTAAAAACTGACAGCAAGGAAACTTATGTAGAAATATGTACAATGTTCATAACACATCAAAAGAAAAATAATTATGAAATTATAAAAATGCATGAATATGCTTTGATACTGTAAATGAACACAAATAATTAATGAAAATAATATGCTATCACATGAGGTGACTGGGGCTGATTCTTTTACCTAAAATTTTAATTTTGTTGATATGTCTTTTAATTAAAATTAAGTTAATGAAAAGCCTTGTTTCAAGATGGTCTACTCACAGTGCTGAGTTTGCTGCAGATGATGAGGATCCGACGTTCATACAGCATACTGGCATACAGATGTAACATGTTGTTTACATCCACAGCCACAAAATATTCTGTCAAATTTCTCTAGGAGAAAGAAGAAAGCAAGGTTTATGGCTTACTTTGCTTGTTCTTATTACAAATAGTATCTACATGAGAAGCAGAAAATAAGCAGAAAGCACACTCTGCTCTTCCCCATATTGTTTCTACTGAACCCCACTCATGTATGAAATCAGGAAATGTTGCTGGGCATGGTGGCACACGCCTGTGATCCCAGCACTCACCTTGTTTCAAAAAAACAAAAAAAAAATCAGGAGTGTAAAGTTGGAAGAGACCCTTAGAGATAAGCAGCGTGAGCAATTGTGTCTGTGATTCATTTACAACATGAGGTTATATACCACACGGTGTTTGCTCTTCACGTCAGTTCCAAAAGGTAAGAATGATAGAAAATCTGCAATCTTACAAATGAAGAAACCAAGGCTCAGAGAGATCTGCCAAGATCAAATGGTCTAAAAAGTCGTGAAGACAAGATTGCTGCTCAGATCTTCAGATTCCAATCCCTAGAACCTTCCAGCAAAACAAGTACCCAGCTGGGCATGGTGGTACATGCCTATAATCCCAACATTCTGAAAGTCTAAGGCAGGAGGATCATAAGTTAGAAACCATCTTGGGTAATTTAGTAAGACCAGGTCTCAAGATGAAAAGGGCTGGGGATGTAGCTCAGTGCAAAGGCCCTGAGTTTGATCCCAAATGTCACACACACACCTTCCCCCAGGGACTGAAGTCCCTCTGGCACAAGGCCTGCCTCTGTCCAATAGGTCACTGCTGCCATGGCCAGGTACACCTCTCTCCTCACTACTCATGTTCCCTCCTCCACAGCTCACACTCTCTAAAATGGCTTAGCCAGAATTAAAGCAATTTCAAAGACGTACAATTTTCAGGTACTTCACTCAAAAGAAAAAAAAAAAACAAAACTAAAGACAAATAGCAAGTTGTGAAAAAGCAGTGTTTTAACTAGATTTTCTTCTGTAACCTGGGCTTCACTCCTTTAATTAGTACTTTAGATTGGTACTCTTCAGATTTCAGAAAAAATAGAAAGTGTTTCATTTCTATAACCCTTTCTGTGCCCACCTGACTTTAATAACATACATGAATATGCTAATTTCTTGAATGTTACAGGTTTTCAATGCCACACAATATAATTCTCTACAAATGAAAGGGGTTGGGGTGGGAAGGAATACTATTGCCAGGGGTTGCAGTTAATAATGATTAAGCATCTATAGACCATAAATTGAAGTAAACCAGGTAGATTTTACATGCAAAATAGCATAAAGTGCTTTTCAACAATATTATGGGCTGGGAATAAGAATGGGCATTTATCTTATGATTTATTATTGTTTGACTGGAGTACTTGGTTAACTATCAAGGTTTATAAATATAGAGTAAGTGAATTACTAGTTCTACATACTGAGCAGTTACCAAATACCAGTTACTGTGCCTGACACTTTGAATGTGTAACCTTATTCAATCCTCACAAATCTCCCATCAGGTATTATTCTTTCCAACATAGAAATAGAGAAATTAAGTCTGGGAGAGATTCAGTGATGAAGAAACAGATCTGAATTCACAGCCTAAATACTTTCCCCTACCCTACCTTGTCTTTCTTTAATATCTTTTTATATCTACCATGTACCAGGATTTCTATATACATTGCTTCACTCAATCTTAATCCTTGAAGTAGGAGTTATTATCCCTATTCAAAGATGAGAAAACAGAGGTACAGAAGGGTGATATAATTTGACAAAGGTCACACAGTGAGTGGATAAGACATCATTCAGTCTGTGCTCTTCTTTTTAACCACTAACTTGTAAGTGAAAATCATATTTGGAAAAAGTCTCGGCACAGTAACAAAACAAGATCAAAGTATGTCTAAAGAAAGGAGGATTTATTACTTTTGAAAATTAGTGTTGCCCATTTATCCAGTAATCTTTATGTGCCTGGCAGTGGGTGCTTTACCTGTGTTCTCTCTAATCTTCCTAACAACCCTGAGACAGATGTTACCCTGTGCACTTTACAGCTGTGAAAACTGAGGCTCAGGGGAAGGTTCAGGGGTCTTCTAAAGGTCACCTAGATAGAAAGGGCAGAGGCAACTTTCAAAACCACATCTCCTGAATCCAGAACTCAGACTCTAACCACCATGCCAACTTACTCTTGACACCCTCAATGAAAAACAAAGCAAAACAAACACCAGGGGAGCTGAATTAGACCAGAAGCGTCTCTCTGGAAGGGTGGACTGAGGAGTGCTGAGCTAATGATGTCAGGGTAGGGTTTGTTCAGAAGACAGTGACATGGCAGAGCTCTTCTCACAAACAAAAATATGAGGCCCTCAGCTGAGCATTTCAGTAAAAGCTTAACTGCTGATGAATTACATGAATTTTTCTTTTAGGAGAGGATGGAAGTAAAAAGAAAATAGAAATGAAGAGCTTAAAGAAGGCCAGAAAGCCCATTAGCACTTTTGACAGATCCAAAGATAACTCTGAAGCCACCAAAACGTGGCCTCAAGAGTCTGCCAAGAAGCTTCACGCTGGGTAGAAATATGTTACACAGCTTGCCGTCCAAATAGGGAGACACAGCGTCAGAGACAAATCCTGTGCCTTATTTTGGTGGAAAAAAAAAAAAATCACAAGGATACTTTTGTGGATGGGGAAGGGAACATTTCTGAAACAAAAACACCACTTGACTGAGGCCGGCACCCCCCATCCCCAGTCAGGCCCCGAGGGACTCAGGTGCTCGGTCCAAAGACTCTACACAGGTATGTTAAAAATATGTAACATTTAGCCAAATTCTCTCTAAACTGTCATGTACTTTTTTTGGTATTTCTCATCCCATCTGTGCTGATTACCAAGATATTTGTGTCTAAACAGAAGCTGTCTTTCTTATCTGCTTCCTCCCCTGCCTCTTTCCTTCTGGGATGCCACCCGCCGAGCAGGCGGGACTGCCAACGGCCCCAGCCCCAGGAACCTCACTCAGCCGTGGAGAGCACGTGGGGCAGAGCGAGGCCTCAGGCACCTGCAGTCCTACACAGCCAGGGCTCCAGAGAGGAGAAACCGTATGGAGACAGGAATCTCCCTCCCACTGACATTAAGCACCGGGGCAGCTTGAACTCCACCAAGCCTCAACCTCTTAGACGTCTCCCGCCTTTTCCCACCCTCAGGCCTTTACTTCTGCTGTTTCCTCCTCCTGGAATGCTCTTCACCCTGAGGCTGTTCATTTACTTGTCTAGACCCAGCCCCCATGTTGCCTCCTCCTGGAAGGTGTCCTGGATTTCTCATTTGCCAAGCAGCCCTTTGTGTTTCCATGGCTATTTTCCCTACCTTAAAATAATTCCATTTTAAGTATTTTTTCCCATTAGACTGAGGCCCTTGGGGGAAAATTACGTATCATGTTATCCAGCAGTTTGATGACAGGATGAAGTGGTCAACGGAAGAAGCAACTGACAACTACTGCCCCTGTAGGGGGCAGTAGTAGTGCTGTGGCACTAGCAGTCAAAGGAGAAGCACAGCTTGGGACAGTGAGGCACAGCAGGAAGGACATGCATTTGACTTGAGAAAACCAAGCTCCAAATTGAATGAGATGATCAACTACTTAGTAATGGCCTAAGGACAAAGAAGTGACACTGGGGACTGTGGAGCTGGGTAAATAGCTGGGGTGAGGGTGAAGGATAAGGAGTGGCTTTTCAAGGTAGCTGTACCTACATTTATTAAAACCAGATCAGGGGCTGGTGGGGCAGGGCGCTGGACCCAGAAGGAGGTACTCACATCATATGCAAGTCCACTGTGTTTCTGTGAGGGCAAGGTCAGAGTGCAGGGGAAGAGAAGGCCCGCACTTGCTCGATCAAGACAGAACAGTGCAGCCAGAACACACTGTGAGCTCCCATTTATAAAAGATACCAGCTATGCCATGTTCTTAACACTGTCCTTCAGTGAACTAAGTCCTTGACCTCCCAGTTCTAGCTCCTATAACCAGGTAATAAACATACACTTATTCAATTCCTCCTACGTGCCTACTGCCATCCTGGTAGGTGGTCCTGCAGAGATAAACTAACTATGAAATCTCTTAGCAGCATCAGACCAGGAAATTTAGTATGCAAAGCACAGTCAAGGGACTCCAGGGATGGCTGAGAAGGCTCATTCTGCTGGATGAATTGAGGCAAGGCTGAGAAGGTTTCACAGAAGAGAAGACATTTGGTCTGGGCTTCCCAACGAAGGCTCATTGAGTAGGTGGGGGAGAAGAATCTTCCAGGCAGAATCAGAGGTAGGGAAGTGAGAGAAGATACAATGAGGCAATAGCGGCAAGGGTAGAAGCAGGGGAAATGGGGCAGGAGAGCTAGGCTAGATTCTGTGGGAGCTAAAGGATCACGACATCATCCTATCTGTGCTTCAGAAAAATCTTGAGACCGTATGGAGGATGGAGAAGAGCAGGCCAGTAGGAGTGGAGCCAACCAACAACTATCATCATATCCCTTGAAAGATAAGATTAAAATATATAAGCAAACAGTTCAGAGATACAACACATATCTGTAAATTAGTCACAGGACTTTATAATGAATTAGACTTGGGGAGGGGAAGAAAAACAGCTTCAGTGACCCTCACACTTTAAGTTACAGTGCACCACACTTGTCCTCTTGCCCAGTTCCTCAAAGCAAGGGCCCATTCATGGAATTAAGGATAAACCCTCCTTCTTCTAAAGAACCGTTAATCCTGTCATACCTGGCCACTTAGTCCTTGGTCTAATGTCCTGGACTGTAATTCCACTACAGCTAAGCCAAAGTTACCACCCTCTTTATTCTCTGTCAAGTAGTTTTTATGTAATGAACCTGCTTGGAAAGGAAATCTTTGCTCAGAGGACAGTTTCCCAGTTTCTATGCTCAGGAGCTCTCAGTTTTCTTAGTGCCAGTATGTTTTTGGGCTTATGAATATTCTTGGCCTCCTCATGGAGTTCAAGTATTGTTTCAGTTACATGCAGAGAACTGGGCTGTCCACCTGGCATTTATTATGCTGGGTTGGGTAGTAGTGATAGGAAGCTCA